CCACTGAGCAAGGAGCCCGATGCGGGACTCGATCCCAGGACCCTGGGATCATGACCTGAGCTGAAGGCAGCGGCTTAACCAACTGAGCCACCCAGGCGTCCCATCTCCATCCTCAACTTTTATAGTTGCTCCACAGTATTTGGATATTCTCTTCTGGTTTTTTTTCCCCCCCAATCTTTTTTTCTTTTTGCCTTTCAGTTTTGTCAATGTCTATTTAGACATCCTCAAGCTCAGAAATTCTTTCCTTGGCTATACTCCATATCCATTAAGGTGTTCTTCTTTCTTTATGTGTTTTTCTTTTTTTAATAATCTTTACACCTGCTATGGGGCTTGAACTCACAACCCCGAGGATCAAGAGTTGCATGCTCTTCCTACTGAGCTGGACAGGTGCCCCAAGACATTCTTCATTTCTGTTACAGTATTTTTTTTTTTAAGTCTAGCATTCCTTTTTGGTTCTTTCTTAGAATTTCCATCTCTCTTTTTACATTGTTTACTTATTCTTCCATATTTTCTACCCATTAGAGTCCTCAGCATTATCAATCAATCATAATTTTAAGTTCCCGATCTCATAATTTCAACATCTCTGCCATATCTGAGTCTGGTTTTGATGCTTGCTCTGTCTCTTCCAACTGTGTTTTCTGTCTTTCAGTATATCTTGTAATTTTTTGTTGATAGGTGCACATGATGTGCTGGGTAAAAGGAACAGCTATAAATAGGCTTTTAATAATGTGGCGGTAAGTTGTGGGGAAAGGGAAAGCGTCCTGTAGTCCTAGGATTAGATACCAGTCTTTTCTTGAGCTGCTGCCTTTGGACTGTCAACATCAGACAACCCTGTCAGCCTTTCTCTCCCCCTTAGTTTAGACAGGATGACCATAGCAGGTTGGGATTTGGTCTTTTCCTTCTCTCAAGTCCATTGGGCTCTGATAAAACTCCAGCAAGTTCAGTTCTGGTTGAAGAGTTTCTCCTGAGGGCTGACCTTGTTAAGAAGAACAGGCTACTCTGGCATATTTCAAAATGGTTTCCCCTACTGTTAGCATAAGGGGATTTTTCTCTGATATTTGTTTTGAGAACCTGTTAGAGGTCCAGGAGGTAAAACTCACAGAAGCCTCCCCAATGACTGGGTTCTCTGGAGATTTTATATCTCAGACCTGTCTACAACGAGCCTCTAATGATTTCTCAGTTGTAGTTCAGGTTTCCAAACACTGGCACTGATGCCTACAAAGGTTTCTGCTCTGGTAAGTTGTGAGTCTCTGTATTTACCTGGGAGTGTCTCCAAATTTAGGGGCAGCACCTTGTCCTGTGATGTCATTTCTCCTACAGGTATAAGAAGAGTTGTTGATTTTTCTATTTATTCAGCTTTTTACTTGTTCAAACAAAGTGGCTCCCAAACTTCTTAAATGCTAGACTGAAAACTGGTAGTATTCTTTTGAATATTTTTATATAAAGGATCATGTGATCTATGAACAGAGATAGTTTTATTTTTTCCCTTCCAGTTTGGATACTTTTTATTTCTTTTTCTTATCTAATTCCTCTGGCTAAATACGCCAGTAGAATATTACATAGCAGCAGTAAAAATGGGCATCCTTGTCTCATTCCTAATGTTAGGGAGAAAGTTTTTATTTGTTCAACATTGAGTATAATGGTAACTGTGGGCTTTTCATAAACATCTTTTATCATGTTGAACATGTTCCGTTCTATTCCTAGTTTTTTGGGAGTTCTCATTATGAAAGGATATTGGATTTTGTGAAATGACTTATGTGCTTCAAGTAAGATAATCATCCCCTCTTCCAGGTCCTATTAATGTATTATTTTTTTTTTTTACACTGAACCACCCTTATATTCCTGAAATGAACCACTTTCATGGTGCATCATCTTTTTAATATGGTTTTGGACTTAGTTTGCCAGCATTTTGCTGGCATCTATATTCATTAGGAATACTGGTCTGTAATTTTCTTTTCTTGTAATGTTCTTAATATGTCTTTGGTATCAAGGTAATGCTGACCTTAAAGAATGAGTTGAGAAGTACTCCTTATTCTTGTCATCTTTGGAAGAGATGGACTGGTGTTCATTCTTCTTTAAATGTTTGGTTCAGTCCACTAGTGAAAGCATCTGGCCCTGGACTTTTCTTTGCCACAATTCTTCTTATTATTGATTATATCTTTTCACTTGTTATAAGTCTGTTAGATTTTCTTTTTTTTCTTGAACCATTTAAAGTAATTTGTGTGCTTTTATAACGGTTTGTCAATTTTGTTTATCTTTCAAAATAATGAACTTTTGGTTTCATTCTCATTATTTTTCCATTCTCATTTTATTTAACTCTTCTCTAATCTTTATTAGTTCCTTCCTTCTGCTAGCTTTGAGTTTCCTTTACTCTTATTTTTATAGTTCCATAGATAGTAAAATTAAGCAACTAATTTGAGACCTTCCTTTTTTTAAAAATATAGTTACTTACAGCTACAAATCTCCCTCTGAGTACTGCCTTCACTGCATCCAGTGTGGCGTTTTAATTTCATTCCTCTGTAGGTATTTTTCTAATTTCCTTTGATTCCTTCTTTGATCATTAATTAAGAGTATCTTGTTTTATCTCCACATGTATTTTTTTTTTTAACACTCCAGTTATTCTTATCTTACTGATTTTTGGCTTCATACCGTTGTGGCTAGAGAAGATACTTTGTATGACTTCAATCTTCTTACATTTTTGAGACTAGTTTTGTATCCTAACATCCAGCCTAATCTGGGAGAATATATCATGTGCACTTGAGAATAATATGTGTTCTGCTGTGTTGAGTGGAAGGTCTGGTTGGTTATAGTGTTATTCAAGACTTTTTATCTTTACTCATCTTCTCTCTGTATGTTCTATGCACTATTGGAAATGGGATACTGAATTTTCTGTTATTCAATAATTATTTCTCCCTTCAATTCTATTGAAAAGTATTCCTAGTGGACTGAAGATTCCTACAGACTTTTAGAATGGTCAAAATAGGTTTCAAAACCAATTCAAAATAGGTTTACAAGAAACTAAACCAAGAAATTCCAGTTTTAGAAAATATCCTCAAGAGGGACACCTGGGTGGCTCAGCCGGTTAAACATCTGCCTTCGGCTCAGGTCATGATCCCAGGGTTCTGGGATCGAGTCCCACATTCGCCTCTCTGCTCAGCAGGGTGCCTGCCTCTCCCTCTACCTCTGCCTGCTGCTCTACCTACTTGTGCGCTCTCTCTCTCTGGCAAATAAATAAATAAAATCTTAAAAAAAATATCCTCAAGAAATGACAGTAATGTAATGATCACAGCCAACACCTGCTGAGCCTTTACTTTCTGCCAGGTCCTGGGCAAAGCATTTTAAATGCATTTACTTATGTATTGGGTAGTTCTATTTTTAACTCAAACTTATAAATGATAGAAGAGACTATGAGCATTTGAGTAGTCAGTAAATACACGTTATTCAAAGCTTTCAGAGCATCAATGATTCTTACAGAAAAAAAAAAAAAAGACTAGTGGCTAGAATGTGGCACTGAGTTGGAAAACCCGTATTTAAACTGTACTTAACACTTATGATGACATAATCCTTAACACCTCTAGGTCTCAATTTCCTCAACCGCAAATAATCTCTAAGATTCCTTCTAGTCTGTACTTTATGATTATTTGTTACCCAAATCACCTAAAACAGTGCTAGAAACAAAATAGTCTCGGATTGAAAATTATTTGAGACAGTAATTTAATAACTTCCATATACTACTACTGTCCCAGAAGCATAAGTATACAGAAGAAACACCTCTGCTTGGGAAAGCTAACCATGACTCATGACTGTGCAATCATGATAAACTAAAAAATTAAAAACAAATAAACCAATCCCTAAAAATAAGAAATAAAATCTAGAGTTTATATTTATAGCAGAGAAACCTCATTTGCAACCCTGATATTCGACAGAGAAAAGTTCTGACCAATTCTACATTCATTCATTGAGTTAACACATTTATTAAACAAGTATTAAAATCTGGCCCTGACCCAGGTTAAAACTATACCTGTATGTTTTCAATAAGTTTGGTCACAGTTTAGGCAGGGAGACATTTTGTGGATAAATACAATAAAATCTATGCTAAAATTATTAACAGAATTCTAAAGTAGCACAAACTTCCTGAGATGACATTCAACTTGATTCTTTTATTTGCCAGATGAGTAAGACTAGACTATATATGGTTATGCAAGTAGAGGGTGTAGGTGAAGGCTGGTGGGCAGCATAGAGGAGACAGTTTTGCTAAGGTCAGAGTGGAGAAAAGGCAGGGATCATGTTCAGATTATAATTTAGTGCTGCAGAAATAGGATGTCAATTTAATCGCAATTCTCTCATTTTGACATACACAACATTATTATCAAGGCTGAGAGCACTTCACAAATATATGCACATACTCCTTAAATAAAACCAATGAGATAGGATTTTACAGATAAGAAAATTAAAGTCCAGAGAGATTAAGTAAGTGTTTTGCAGCATTACATGGCTAGTAACTGATGAGGGTAGGAATTAAAACCAAGCAGTCTAACTCCAGAGCTGGCACAAGGATTTCCCTTGTAAGCACTTCTGCTCAGATGTGGTAGCCCATGCCTATTATTGTCTCACCTATTACTGTCTCACCCATGTAACAGAAGTATCTGTGGAGCTACCCCTGAGCCTCTCCTATGTCATTTATAAGATGAGGGTCTGGGTATCTAACAAGGCACCCCATGCAGATTACTGATACATCTTGTCCAGGTGGGCAGTTCTTCCTAAATATTTGATATTTTCTGATCGATTTCTTCTCCTTACTAAGCACAACCTTCCCTTTCTTTCCAGAACGATGCGGAAGTCTACATCAGCTTCCCTCTGGGAATGAGAATTAAGAATATTAGATTTGGAGGATAGATAGTTTTTACTCCACATCAAAGAGAATACATAAACTAACACTTCTTTTAAGCCTAAAGAGAAGAAAACTAATTTAACTTCACAAATGTGAAATCAGACACTACCTTTAGTCCCTCCAATTCATTTTCCAGTTGCTTGGAATAGTGCTCGCTCTGTTCACGCAGTTTCCTGTCTTTAGATGCTTCAGCAGCTACAGCTTCTGTATGAACTTCCAGCTTTAAAATAAAATGAAAAGAGCAGATGTCATGGTTATAATTGTTTTCCCAATAAAATGCTTTTCCCCATGGGAATTTACCTTGTAACAAGAAGGTAACTCAAATGTTGAAATTCGTATTTAATAAAATCACTGAACTAAAACAAAGCAAAACAAAACACGTTCTCAATAATTAAAGAAGGAGATATACAGTATTCCACTAATCTGAAAAAGCAGCTTTAATCACTAGCCCACGGGCACTAGAAAGTCTGCCTGACTACTAACCTCTTTCTTGGCTCTCTCTGTTCTGCGCAGTTCTTGCCTTAAGCTTTCAACTTTTTGCATCACCAGGTCCACCTCTTCTTCCTTATCTCGGACATGGCGAGCAAGTTTCTGTTTTTGGGCGTGCAATTCTGTTAGCCGCTCATTGATCTCCATGAACTCCTGCATGGCCAGTTTCCTCTGACAGTGTGCGTCTTTCAGCTCTTTGGACTGGTTTTTTAATCGCTCACTAGCCTGGACTAGTTCCTACAGTTTTGTAAAAAGAATATAAGTTACCAATTCTGCAACCCAGGAACCAATTTTGGCCATCAAAGTAGCTATCGTGAAGTCAAGAAGAGCCAAAACTATTCATCTCAGGACAAAATTAAAAGAAATCAGCTACTTCGGACAGATATTAACAGCAGGGCGCTCTGTTGAGGTTCTCGATTCCTGATGCTAATTGTAATGAAGAGCTGATTCAATCTGCCAGTATCTTAGTCTCCACAAATAAATGAAGACCATAGGAACACCACATACAATGGTCAAAATAAAGATTTTGTGAAATGGAATGGATACTTGCGAGATCTTTAAAAATTATACTGGATCATTACAAATGACAAAAAATAAGAAATGCTCTTATGTGGACACTAAACCTCAGTCCAGAAGCAAGGAGAGAAAGCTAAATAAACTCCTGTATCAAAGTGAGAAACCCGGAGTTAAAGCAGCATTTCTTCTGGCAAAAGAAAATGCAAATCGCTTTTGAGTAAAGAGCCTTAATGAAATGTAGGATTTTTAAGAGCAAACAAACTCCAATGATATTTGGACATTAGAATTATCAAATATGAATATAAAATGGGTACATATGAAACATTTGAGGAGGTTAAAAAAAAAGACTATTAAAAATGACCAAGCAGATTTATAAAACTGTGTAGAACATTTAGAAATATAAAAATATGTGTTAAAATTAAAGACCCGAATCCATCAATGCAGTAAGTTCTTCATTTATGAAGCAAGAAAAAATTTTAAAGTTCAAATCCAGAAACTTTCAAAAAATAAAACTGTGTAGCACCAAATAAAAATAAATGTCTTTAAAAGAAGTCAGTGAAAAAAGACAAATCACAAAGTATGTTCCACCCTCAAAAACAAAAACAAGAGAGACTAAGAAGTAACAATAGAAACAGGGGGAAATGTTTCTAATGACGTAAGTAATTAAAATTGTATTTTAACTTTAAATTTTAATTTTTTTTTTTAAATATTTTATTTATTTATTTGACAGAGAGACACAGCGAGAGAGGGAACACAAGCAGGGGGAGGGGAAGTGGGAGAGGGAGAAGCAGGCCTCTCACCAAGCAGGGAGCCCAATGCGGGGCTCAATCCCAGGACCCAAGATCATGACCTGAGCTGAAGGCAGACACTTAACGACTGAGCCACCCAGGCGCCCTTAAATTTTAATTTAAATTAACTAATTTAAATTTCTTTTCAGGTATGAGGCTAAATAATTATATTCATATAAACAAAAACTGACAGAACTTATCACTATCAGATCTCCACTAAATAGAAACCTCTAAAGATTTACTTTAGGAAAAAGAAAAATAATTTTGGAAGCAAAGTCTAGCAGAGAAAGACAATTATCATATGGTTTCACTTATATGTGGAACATAAGGAAGAGCATGGAGGACATTCGGAGAAGGAAGGGAAAAATGGAGGGGGCAGAAATCAGAGGGGGAGACAAGCCATGAGATACTATGGATTCCAGGAAACAAGCTGAGGGTTTTGGGGGAGAGGAAGGGGAGGGAGGGATGGGCAAGCCGGGTGAAGGGTATTAAGGAGGGCACGGATTGCATGGAGCACTAGGTGTTATATGCAAATAATGAATCATGGAACATTACATCAAAAACTAATGACGTACTAAAAAAAATTTAAAAATATAAAAAGCAAAGTCTAATGACAGAGAAATGGAGGACTAAGAAACTGGTAAACATAAATGTGAATGTGAACAAACACGTGGATGAGACTGTATTATAAAAATGTCTCGTCCATATCCAAACAAATAAATAAAATATTTTGTTTATTCAAAACAAAAAGGATATAAGTAAAATATTAATAAAAAACAACATTGGCATTTGGAAGAGGTAACAGAGTTAAAGGTCCTTAAATTGTTTGGGAGGTGTGGTTTAAAATATTAAATTTAGACTCTCTTAAATATGCATGACAAAACTCAAGAGCACTACTAGAAACTATTAAAACAAGTAGTGAGTGGGAAGAAAAACAAACACTTCAATCAAATTTCAAGAAAAAATTTTGCAAGATGAAAAAAATTCTGGAGATTCGTTGCACAACATGAATGTACTTCCACTACTGAATGGTGTGTTTTAAAAATGGTTAGATTTTATAGTATATGTATTTACCACAATTTTAAAAAGGCAAGAAAGGAAACAAAGGCACAAAAAAAAGCATGACAAACATAAAGCAGAAATTTGGTAGAGACTTGTCTATACACATTGATAGTCAAAACAAATATAAAAGGGCGAAGTTTGTTATACCAAATTAAAAAATAATATCTAGATTTTAATAGAAAAAGTATTAATGATAGAGAATGTCCCACACAATGATAAAATTCAACACTAGAAAGAATTGCTATTCTAAACTTTTATGCATTCCACAAGATAGATTCAAAATAGATTACAAAGAAATTGCAAGAACATCATAGAAAAATTGGTAAATACATGACCATAATGAGAAACTTCGATTTGACAATCATTGATAAACTGAGCAGTTTAAAAATAGTGAATATAGAGAGGATGATCAAGCGTTATATATAGAAGCTGCACCCAATATTGGAACATACATTCTTCTCAAGCACATAGTGAACATTTAAAAATGGTTGGCGCCTGGCCGGCTTGGTTGGTAGAGTGTATGACTCCTCATTAGGGGTTGCAAGTTCAAGTCCCATGTTGGGTATAGAGATTATTTAAAAATAAAATCTTTAAAAAATAATAATAAAAATAAATAAAAAATGAAAAATGTAACAATCTGTCTAGGCCATGAAACAAGTCTCAGCAGATTTCAAAGAACATATTAAAGATCAAGTGCTCTAATATCATCACTTTTAAATAGAAATAAAAAATAAAAAGGCTAAATTCCATAATAACTCACTGGTCGAGGAGAAAAGTGAAAGAATATTAAAATATTTAGAACTAAAAACAAGATGAAAATAACAAAAAACAATAAAAATCTTTAGTACATATATTAAAACTTGAGGATTCAGTAAAAGGTTTACTTAGGGGGAGATTTATAACTTGAAATCCTTGTATTGAAACTAAAAAAAAAAAAAGATAAATTCAATGAAATTTTGCATAAAAAGAGACAGAACACATTAATGCTTCTGCCAATATGAGAGGATAATAAAAATTAGGACATAAACTTATGAAACAGAAGTGTCAGAATAATGAACAACAACAAAGACAAAAGTTGGTTCTTTGAGAAAAATAATAAAACAGGTAAATATCTGGTGAGATCAAACAAGGAGAGAAGAATAAATGCCAAAAGAAATAATACTAAGAAAAAAGGTTATAACTACAAATCTGGAAGAGAGTTTAAAAAGCTAATGAAAAAATCTAATGAAAAACTTTGTCAATAAATTTGTTAGCTTTTGAAATGAATGAATTCCTACAGAAATACAATTTATTAAAACTGTTTCACGAAGAAATAGAATGCCTAAGTACTCCTATAATAATTAAAGTACCTAAATCCATAGTTAAAAAACTTTCCCCATCCCCTCAGTGGGAGAGGATTTCCAAACTCAGAGGGTTACACAATTGACTCCTCCAGTGTTTCAAGGAATAAACATTACTCTTACACAAACTTTTATAAAGAAGAGAAAAAGAGGCAATGCTGCCCAACTCATTCTATGAGACCAAAATAACCCTGACATTGTAAAAACACCAGAACAATAGAAAAAAATTAAAAGCCAATCATATTGATGAAAACAAAAAATCCAACAACAACAAAAATTTAGCAGATCAACTCTAGTGACATATAAAGCAGATAAACATGAAATCTGGATAGACTCCTTGTATTGAAATTCCAGCTCCAACACTTTCTAGCTCTATGAACTTAAGCAAGTGCGCTTGACCTTCTCTGTGCTTGGTCTCACCATTTATAAAATGAGAATAATAATAAACAGTGCTATTATGTAAGTGTTACATATACTAGCATATTATTATTTAGGATATAATGCACATGAAATTTAGGTTTAACCCAGAAATGCAAAAATGGTTTAACATTAGAAAAAAATTCATCAATGTAATTTACCAAACCAAGTTACTAAAGAAGAACAGTCCTATAATTACAACAATATATATCAACAAACGCCTAGAAATTGGTTGCAATAGTGTACAAAAAAGTACATTAGGTAAGTCCAATACCCATTCCTGATAAAAATGATTATCAAAATAGGAACAGAAGATAACTTTCTTAACCTGATAAAAATTATTTACCAAAAACTTACAGAAAACATTATTAGTGGTCAACCAGTAAAGGCATTTTCTTTGAAATCAGGAATAAGACAGGGAAGCCTGCTATCACAAGTTCTATTCAACACTGTACTGTGGGTTCTAGCTAATACAGCAAGACAAGATAAGAAAGGTCATAAAAACCAGAAAAAGAAACAAAACTGTCATTATTTGCAAAGAACCCCAAAGAATTTCAAATATATTAGTACAATTAACAAGAATTTAGTAATGTTGCTGGAACAAAATCAGTAAGAAAATATAATTTTAAAGATACCATTTAAAATATGAAAAAATAGAATAATAAATTTAAAGAAAGGCAAATAAGACATGGATAAAATTTTATGGAAAAACATTTTAAAAAATGTTAAAGACATGAAGAGATATACCATGTTTGTGGAAGGACTGTGGGAGTCTAGAGAAAATATTTCTATATTTTTCTATGGATAGGCCTTTGTAAGCAAATTTTACTGAAACCTGGAATCTGGACTAAAAGGAAGTCTTATAATTTATGTCTAATTTAGAATGAGAAACTCCAGAGAGATTTAACTCCTGAATGTATGTGTTTATGCTTCAGCAAGGGGTGGGGAGAGGAGTCTGGATCAGGGAGGGATCCTCTTTATAGAGCTTGAGACTCTGGGCTTATCTTTCCACTGGAGTGACTGATCTATATTCCAGAGCCATAGATCCTTCTCTTGACATTTCCAAGGAGACTCTCAGAGGGTGGGTGGAGACTGGGGCGGGGGACCGGCAGGGGTAGGAAGCATCCATCACTCCCTTTATATAAACACCCAGACTCACAACACAGACTCCATATATGTCATGTTTTATCTATCCTGCTGTCATTGCATTGCCCCCAGAGGTAAGAATTAGCACACAGCGGAGGGATGTGGTTATTTCTGCTCTACATATATCACAATACTATACTCTGCTCTTGAAATCTGTATGTGCATTTGGAATAATATTCATAAATATGGATAGTAAGAACTTAAAGATCCAATACTGCAATTATGTCAATTCTCCTGAAATTACTCTACAGATTTAATGCAATTTTAATCAAAATCCCATCACAGTTTTTAAGGAATGAGATACAGACTCATTCATAAATGGAAATGTAATATATGACAGAGGTGACATCACACATCACTGTGGAAAAGAGGGGTTATTTAGTAAATGAGTAAGTGGTTAGCTACATAGGAAAAACTGAAATTGGATCTTTATCTCACATGATACAAAAAATAAATTTCTAGTGTATTAAAAATTTAAATATGAAAGACCAAACTTCAAAACTGCAAAATAAAAACTGAACACTTAAAAAAAAAAACCCAGAATTTTTAACCTCAGATTTCTTACACATGCCAGCAAAACTTTAGAAAGAAAGATCGATAAATTTGACTACATTAAAACTAAGAACTTCTGTTATTCAAAATCCCATAAAGAAAGTGAAAAGACAAGCCACTAACTGGGAGATATCTGTAGCATACACAACTGACAAAAGATTAATATAGAAATTTTCAAGAATTCTTAGCTAACCAATAAGAAAAAGACAACCCAAGAGAAAAATATATACAAAGGATACTGAGAGGCATTTCACTAAAGAAATATAAATGATAAATGGGCATATGTAAGACACTCAACATCATTAGTAATTAGAGAAGTTAAGACCTTATAACAAAATATCATTCTAGACCTAAAATACCAATTTCGACTAAGGTTGGCCAAAATAATTTACCTAATAATATGAAGTACTATTAAATATACACTAGGTGGTGGGAGTTAAAGTATAAATCAGTATATTATAATAAAAACAGAGTATTATCATTACTTATGACCCAACTATTCTACTCGTGTTTGTATAAGCAAGTGTGTACAGATCAGTATATTGTTCAAGAATGTTCATTTACAGTAGTTGTCAAGTATAAGCAACCTTAATGTCTGTACACAAAGAATGGTATAAATTCTGAAGTGTTCACATAATGGTATACTATACAGCAACTACATGAATGTTTTATAGCTATTTGGATGAATCTTAGAAATATGATGAGTGGAAAAAAACTACAAGAAATTGCATATATCATTTTATAAAGCTCGGAAAAAAGCAACACTAAATTTTATATATATATATATATATATATATATATATATATAGTCTTTTAATTTCCTATGGCATTAAAAATGCTTTAGCCAGCAAGCTCAATGGCTATACATTAGTCCATCATATTAATTGGTTGGGCATTTCAGTTGCGTCTAATATTTTTCTTTTATAAATGTGGTGAGAAATTTCTCTGTGAGCAAATCTTTGACCGTCTGATTATCTTCTTAAATTTTGACAAATGGAGTTTACTCTATCAAGTATTTCAGTACTTTAAAGCTTTGGATACTTACTGCAAATTAGCTTTCCAAAAATAATATATCAGATTATAATCTCATCTTCAGTATTTGGCACTGGCATTTTATTTTACTGAAGTGTAATTAACATACAATGTTAGTAGTTTCAGATGTATAATATAGAGATTAGACGATTCTATCCTTTACTCAGTGCTCACCATGAGAAATGTAGCTACCATCTGTCACTACATACATATATTTTATTATATATTATTTAGAGGTATACTAATATGTAATAAAATTTTTTTCCATAAGGAAATGATTGACATAAAATTCAGTACAGTGATTACCATTTTAATATTACTATAATATTATTAAAACAAATAGAACATGTTATAAATTCAAAATATTATTAGATTGGCCATGAATTTAAATGGAACTTGTATACCACACTGCTTGTAACTGCATTAAGAAAAAAGTAATAATAAACAAATAATACATGATATGTTAAAAAAAGTAAAAATACACTAATCAATTTAATCTTTATAACTTTTTCTGTTAGTCTTTTTTATTAGTTTTTTATTAGCTTCATCAGCAAAAGGTATTTGTTTTATTTGACAGAGATCACAAGTAGGCAGAGAGGCCAGCAGGAACGGGGGGAAGCAGGCTCCCCCCTGAGCAGAGAGCCCGATGCGGGGCTCGATCCCAGGACCCTGGGACCACAACCCAAGCCGAAGGCAGAGGCTTTAACCCCCTGAGCCACCCAGGTACCCCGGTTTTATTTTTAATTGCCTCCACTTCTTTACTGACAGCAAGACCTTAAAATCTTGCCCCAAAAGAAATTCATTATGTCATCAATTATATATTATATCATTGAATACAATTTATACTACGCCAAAAACCACTCATTTCTTTATTGTGTTGGCTAGTATTAATTCCAACATTATTTTATTTGTTAATGAAAGGCAAAATATATACACTGAGTGGTTCAGGTATTCTCTGGTGCTTGAGTATTATTTGAACCCTACTGAATTTGTTAGAGTGTCTCTGCCATTAATAAATTTTATTGATGTTCACAATACTGTTTGAGTGTTACCTAAAGTTCTTATGAAATTTAGCTTATTCATCCATGCTTTGAAAGATAAACTGACATTTTAAAAGATAATTAAAACACTAAAAAATTTTTATTTTAATCTTTTTAAAATGTTCATATCAGCAAATCACAGTGAAAATATGCCTATATTTTAAATTTTTCCATAGATACTAACTATGGCTTACTATTTACTTATTCCTTTTTAATATTTTTCAATAACATTTATTTTTTTTTAAAGATTTATTTATTTGCGAGAGAGAGAGAGAGAGAGAGAGAGAGAGCGCATGAGAAGGGAGAGGGTCAGAGTGAGAAGCAGACTCCCCGCTGAGCAGGGAGCCTGATGTGAGACTTGATCCAGGGACTCCAGGATCATGACCCTAGCCGAAGGCAGTTGCCCAACCAACTAAGCCACCCAGGTGCCCAACATTTACTTTTAATTAAGTCCTTTGATTATTAACTTCTCAAAAGAACAAATGATTCTGAACTTTAAAATCTTGAGAATATAAAAGTTACATCATTACTAGCTAGGAATCAAATGAAATACACCAAAATAATTCCTAAATCTTTAAACCAATATTTTACAGACAAAATATACTTTACGTTACTGTAATTTACTAGGAAAGCTTTCAGTATACAAATTAAACAAGGTTAAGAATTCAAAAGCAGCTTTAACAATCTACCCACATATTTTTACCTTGTTTAATTCTTCCCTTTCTTGTTGTAGTGTTTTGATTTGTTTTTCATAAGCCTTGATTTGTCGAAAAGCATCATCTAGCTCTCTCCTCACAGAGTTGGCCTCCTCAAGCTGTTGTTCTAAGTGACTTGATTCTAAAAAGAGAAGACAGTGGTTATTTTACTATTTGTATAAAAACAAATGTTTGAAACCAAGGTTTCAACACAACCAATTTTATTTAAAAATAAAGTATTCTGTATTTGGTTTTGGCTTACGGACACCGCATACCACTATGACTATGACTCTGAACAATTAAGTGCTTAGCAAGTTCACTGTAAAGACGGTGCAAACTAATGCCAGTGTGGAGATGCATGAAACGTGCGTACAAAAGTGCCTTACATTTCTATTAGAAAAAGACGACCAGACTTCCAACAAAGTACCTTTAAAACCAATTAAAAGCTTAAAAGTAATAAAAATGACAAAGCCAACCAAACTGACAAAACGGTGTTCTTCTATGGATGGTTATTAGCACTTGTGTGCCGATATTCATCAAATTATTATAAGAGGGCTGTGCTTGTAATGGGTGCAGACTGACAGCCCTGTTTCACTAAAGGTCATTTGAAGCACATACTCTGATTTCTGAAAGCAAGTGTTTGAAAACCTCTGATCTAGAAGAGGAAACTAAGGCCTAGGGAACTGAGTATCTAGCCTGAGGTCAGTATCAGAAGAAAGACAACAGCTCAGAACTCCTGCATCAGCCTCTCCAACTGGAAAAATAAGGTTATCAAACAATACTTAACATTACCACGTCAGAAGAGTTATTAGGAAGCAAAATAAAATCACTAATTTTGATACATGCTTAAATAAATGTTAATAAATTGATATAAAATATTCCTGGCATCAAAAGTAAATTAGCAAATTAAAGAACTGAAGCCCACAAAAACAGAAAAATCTAAACACATTCATTGTGGACTTCTGAACCCGGTATTTTCTATTCTTTACAACCCTGTTACTCTGCATGTTATTTCCAGGCAAGTAGCATTAGCATCCTCTGGAAGCTTGTCAGAAATGCAGAATCCTGGGTCCCACCCAGACTTAATGAATCAGATCTGTATTTGAACAAGATCCCCAGGTCTTGCAAATTCAAGTGTGGGAACAGGTGCATAAAATACTGCACACTGAGTTGAATGCTTTCAATAAATGAAGTAGTGTTTCAAATATACCAGTCCTTTTGAAAAGACCATTTCACGTGTATAGGTAAGTCTCATGGTCAAAAAGTCACTAAAATGCACTAATATAACATATACTAAATGGTGCTAGATTGCTTAAATAAAATAATTTACTGATATTTAGTGCCCTAAACTCATAGATTTATTAAAGAGCTTGTTTATCTTACATATTTTGAAAGTCTAGATACATTAATGGATACAATCGTTTTTTACCAATTTTCAAAAAGTATCTGTGAAGTTGCATTTAACCAGTTTTCATTTTGTCTAAGTATAATTTGAATAGTCTAAACAAATGTTTCACTAAAAGATCATAGGATGTTTAATCTTAAAGATCACAGGATATGTAGTCATATTCAGAAAATTATATTTTATCATTTTCTCAAATTTTAGCATTTCATGTAGAAAATTTTGTTTGTACTAATTTCTTTGAAACATTTTTAAGTGATAATTTTCTGTTACTTTAAGTTTTTAACTTTTTTTAGAATTCAATAATTTGTTATTTCTAATTATTTGGTGTCAAAATTGAGTATGTGAACATGGCTAACATCAATCGCATTTTACGGTTAAGGCATGTCAGGATGAAGCAGTCATATGGCCTGTTTTGTAATCCCTTCTGAGAATATCCACTTCCTTTCTTGCACTCTGAAGAGCTCTTCCCTAGCATGTTAAAGTTTTTTGCAAATTACTGAGTCATTCGCTTATCTCAACTGCTTTTTGTTAGAAACAAAAAGGAAATCAGTGTTTCATAAAATGTCTGCATCACATAAAATTTATGGCAAAATGATTCTGTGGGATAGCTTTGACAGCTTTCAAGGCTGGTTTCTTGTCTTCCTTCAGTGTAGGTTATATTCCAGTTCTATCCCAGCCATTTTGCTTTGGCCGCTTTGCAGCCGAGTTGTTAGGTATATAAATGAATTTTATGTCACATTTTCATGTTTCACGTAGACCAAATGGAGAAGACAAACTCAATTATTTATAAAATCTTACCATATGAAGAGAAGTATTACACTTGCATTTGATATACACAGAATTTTGCATTCCCCAAAGATTAAAAAACCCAAATCTAGAAAAATCCAGAATGCACTGAATTTTGGCCAACCACTCTAAAATGGCTAAATTGCAGGAATGTTTACATTACTACAACAAATAGTGAATTGGATTAAAATTTTGAAAGAAATCCTCAAAGACAGGGCACCTGGGTGGTTCAGTTGGTTAAGTGTCTGCCTTTGGCTCAGGTCGTGATTCCCAGATCCTGGGGTCGAGCCCCACATGGGGCTCCCTGCTCAGCGGGGAGCCTGCCTTCTCCCTTTCCCACTCCCCCTGCTTGTGCTCTGTCAAATAAACAAAAACAAAAAAAAAATCTAAAAAAAAAAAAAAAAAAAAGAAAGAAATCCTCCAAGACTACCAAAAAATATCTCATGCACTATGATTAGCCATAGCATTTAGATGAAGTAATTAAAAACCAGTTTTAGTGAATAAATAGAAGAAGCAGTACTAGCAAAGGGGGTTAGCTCATCCCAACTAAATGGTTCTTAGCTCACTGCTGCTAGTACAACTGCCAGATTCAATCTGTTAGCAATGAGGATTTAATAAGGGATTAACACACAGTAAATAAGTTTTCTTTGCACTGTGTGGCATATAAGAGAATAGAGTCTCTGTCTAGAGGAGATGACCAAGTCAGGAAGACAAGAGTAACACCCTTCAAAACATAAACGAAGAAGAAAATGAAACGCACATTGTGTGACAGGTTAAATGGGAGTTCCGGGAATCACTCAGAGTGGAGCCCAGGCAAACTGCAAGGGGCGAAGGCGGTGCAGGGAGGTGGGGGGTAGAACCATCAAAGCACCTCACCCTGATCCACAGCTTCTTCCTTACATTCTTACTCCTAAAATAATGCAGAACTTCTGAGATGTTTAGAGATCTGACTTCGAATCATGATGGGGCAAAAACAGGTTCCCCTATTTCCGCCCCCCCCACCATTCACTATCTTTCATCCTTTACTTACATGATGTAGTGTGTGTGGCATAGAGTTAGAGAAAGGGAGAGAGAGAGAGAGAGTTTGGTGCTGAAGAGACAGAGCATGGAGGAACAAATTACCCATCTTGAGGCAACAAAAGAAAGGGGGATACAAAGCACATTATAGGTTACAATAACTTTTCTATTTAGGAAGTAAGAAACCATTCCTTTCTTTTCTCATGGAAAAACATTAATAAGAGGATGAATTTCTATTTTTATCTGCAGATGGTCAACAAGTATGTATTGAGTGTCTGTTAGCTGACACAAGGAAACTCCTGTCTTGCCCTGTTGGGAGCTTGGAGCATGATGAGAAAAGCAGATTTTAAAAAGAAATTTTAAGTAATTACAAACTTATTAACTTTTCTAGGAGTTTAAATATATTATAAAACATTGCCATAGGGAAAGAAAAGATAGACACTGATGATGCTTACTTGTTCACACAAAGATCTGGCTTAAAAAGTAGCTAGAGGAACATCTTTTACAAGGTGATTTGGACAGTTTTTTTTGTTTGTTTTGTTTTGTTTTAAACAGCCACAAGTATAGTCAGGGCCACTCATCAGGCAAGTCCCTAGGGAGCCTATGCTTTATCTCTAGCTCTTATGTCAAATGTTTAAGGCAGCGTGGGTGTGATTATGAATGAGACACAGATGATAATTACCCTCCGCCTGACCACTATGCCTCTGGTACCTACTATAATTTTTGGTATAGAGTAGCAAGTCCATAAAAATGTTCACCGACTGAATTAAGAATGAATGAATGTTGGGAATGTAAATAGTACGACCTCTGTAGAAAACTGGGGTGGCAATTCCTAAAAATGTTAAACACAGAATTTCCATATAAATTCAGGAATCCCACTTCCTGCTATGTGCCCAAAAGAAGAGAAAGGAGGGACGTGAACAAAGACATGTAACCTCATGAGCAAAGCAAAGTTATTTACAACAAACAAAAGGAGAAAGCCACCCAGCACTGGCCAACAGATGAATGAATAAACAACGCGGAGTGTTTACATATACACAGTAGGATGCTGTACTAAGGAAGGACAATCTTTTTTAACATATAATGTATTCTTTGCTTCAGGGGTACAGGTCTGTGACCCATCAGTCTTACACAATTCACAGCACTCACCATTGTACATAGCCTCCCCAGTGTCTATTCCCCTCCACTCCCCAACAACCCTCAGTTTCTTTCCTGAGATTAAGAGTCTCTTATGGTTTGTCTCCCTCCCTGGCCCATCTTGTTTCATTTTTTCCCACCCTTTCCCCCATGGCCCCCTGCCCTACCTCTCAAATTCCTCATATCAGAGCGATCATATGATAATTGTCTTTCTCTGATTGACTTATTTCGCTTAGCATAATACCCTCTAGTTCCAGCTGCATCATTGCAAATGGCAAGATTTCATTTCTTTTGATGGCTGCATAATATTCCTGTGTGTGTGTGTGTGTGTGTGTGTATCACAGCTTCTTTATCCATTCATCTGTTGTTGGACTTCAAGGCTCTTTCCATAGTTTGGCTATTGTGGACACTGCTGCTATAACACTGGAGTGCACGTGCCCCCTCAGATACACTACATTTGTATCTTTGGAGTAAATACCCAGTAGTGCGACTGCTGGGTTGTAGGGTAGCTCTATTTTCAACTTTTTGAGGAACCTCCACATTGTTTTCCAGAGTGGCTGCAACCAGCTTGCATTCCCGCCAACAGTGTAGGATTCCCCTTTCTCTGCATCCTCGCCAACACCTGTCATTTCCTGACTGGTTAATTTTAGCCATTCTGACTGGTGTGAGGTGGTCTCTCACTGTGGTTTTGATTTGTATTTCCCTGATGCCGAGTGATGTGGAGCACTTCTTCATGTGTTTGTTGGCCATTTGGATGTCTTTCTTTGCAGATATGTCTGTTCATGTCTTCTGCCCAC